CAAGCAAAAGATTTTATCGAAGATGATACGCAGGACAAGTAAAAGTTGCCGTTTCCTTTGTATTTGCACTGAGATATAGACATTCTGTACAGCGTAAAAGCTTTTATCAAACTATTGTCTGTTTTCGTGAATGTTCTTTAGATAATTAAATATTGTAACCGCCTTCTCCAAACAAACCAAATGGCGCTGATGTCAAACGTTCGCAATTCTCAGTGGTCCAGTTTTAATGTCCACCCTAAACTTCGTCATTAAAGTTATTATCATTATTCAAATATTATGTAATCTCATTGACAGAGAGATATAAATATTCAATTCCAGCTCCGAATTTTTAAGCCGGCTACTCATTAAGGTCGGTACACACTAGGCGACAAGTTGCAGCAACATGTCGCGGCGACACGTTGCAGCGACAAATCGCTTCGTGTGTACTGGAGAATTTTGTGAAAATCTTTGTCGCTGCAACAGAATTTATCGCCGCAACAAGTCGCACAGATTCAGTCTGATTTGTTTTTTTGCGACTTGTTGCAGCGACAAAATTCTGTTGCGGAGACAAAGATTTTCACAAAAATTCTCCAGTACACACGAAGCGATTTGTCGCTGCGACGTGTCGCCTCACCTTGTTCAGGGTTGTCACTAAGGGCCGGGGACCGGAGATTTCCCCTGGCTACTCAGAGCATGACCCCCGACTACTTTCGTCGTTAAATTTAACCAAAAGAGCACACCTTTGAAACACACAAAGACTACCCATCAAACTAAATGCAAGTTTCATCTGCAGCAGGTTTAAGTAATTTTGAAATACTCGCGTGCAAAAACTAAGAAATGTCGGGAAAAGACATCTGACTTAGATTTGGTACTAGTACACACGCGTGAAAACTCTCCGTTCGCGAAATGTCAGTAGGGAGTTTTAACAACGGCGACGGCAACGAGAACGTCAAAAAAGCAATAGGTTTATTGAGCGACGCAACTAGTTTGCACGTGGATCACGCTTTTTTGTACATTTCTTTGCCGTTACTACGAAAAGAAAGGGAGGACGTAAACAAGCGACGACAAACTTTTCTTTCTCTTTCTAAACTTGAGAGCGGTCCCAAACAAATTAACTCCAAGGAAACTGGCCTACCTATATTTTCAGCGAATTGAAATAAATGCGACAAAGTTGGAAAAAACGCCAATTCATTCTAAAAGTGACGTTTTCGCTACCCCACCTTTGTCGATGCTAAAAGTCCCTAGTTTCAACCGTTGTGTCGGCTTTGTGTCGAACATGCCGAAGAAGTGTCAAAGGAATCTGCACTCTTCGTTCACGATGAAAGACCTGAGCAGATCTCTGTTGACATCACAGAAGAAGTTGAGGCTTCATCCGAGCGTTAAATCTCCCTGATACTCATGTTGATGATAATGAGGATTATGACGAAGGCTTTGAAGATGAAGACTCTGAGTGATTGCTATGTTTAATAAATTGACATTTAAGTGATCAGGTCTACATTTAGCTTTAGGTATCGAATATATAAAATAACGCACGGTCAACGGCAAATGTTCGATCATTGTCCGCAGGTCATGATTACATCCTCTCAGTTCTACTTCTAAGAAGTTATATATAAAAGGGAAGTTAAGCATTATTATTATTCATTCAAAATATTTCCCCGATTCTGATTGGCTAAAAGCACACGTTTAATTCACCATAACCAGTCACTGATGACCAAATTTGGAAGAATTTTGACTTTAACGAGGAAATGACGTCAAAAATGCAGCGTTTCGCAGGTTAAGGCACCGTTAACCGAGAAGACCTGGGGACGAGGTTGAGTTGTTTTGGTTGTGAACTTGAAAAAATGGCGGACATTTCACTCGTTTCAAGAGTAAGAACTAGACGAAAAAATAGCTAAAAACATGGCAAGAACAGCAAGAAGACAACTCGAAGGGCGAAATCTGCTATTTGGAGAATATTTGCGGAGCTGGACAAACCTAAACGTACACTATCGAAGATGAACTGAACATCGATGGATCGATGGAGGTAAGCATGTTTTAGCAATGTTTTTAAACTAGGAATTATTTTGAATGAATAATAAAACAGTTATTGAATTCGGCTTTCGTATCATATGAAGAATTATGGAGATCTCGGAGGGTGTTATCCGCCTCGGCCTACGGCCTCGACGGATAACATCTTCCTCGATCTCCATAATTCTTCATAAGATACTCAGCCTCATTCATTAACTGTTAAGTATTACTTTTGCATTCTTCTCCTTGAGTCTCGTTTTGACATCTCAGCGTCGTTTATAAAGTATTAGCCCTGTCTTTTAAACGCTTTTCCGTAGGTCAGTTTGTTCTTATGTTAAGTGATGTTTCGTTCATAAATTCGAGACCACTAATGTTACCAGTTGTGCAGTTTAGTTTGGCATATTTTATCCGGCGATTTTTCGTACGTTACGCTTGTTTTAGCCTTATCATACTTTTATTTTTCAACAAACCATAGTAACCTTATGTTTATGATGCTTTTTCGTACATTCATCGTCCGCTTGTCTTCTTTCCGCTTCTCCGTTTGTTAATTCATTTGTAATATTAGTTTTACTTTTGTTTTCCATAAGTTGTTTCGTTCTTATGTATAACTAAATGAGGATTTACAATCGATTTTACAGCGCATGTTAATTCATTTGCACCATATAAGAATCGATTGTCCTTTCAACATTTTTAACATTTGTAAAGTATCGTTGTGATTTAACTCTTCACTGGCCAGCATGCGCCTTGCCTGCGTTAAGATAAGACTGCGCCTACCTGTCAATTTTTTCAGACCCGGTGCTTACATGTATTTTCCCATTTGACGGCCACTAAAAAAACTCTCCAACGAGCCCTTACGTAAAGTAAAAACTTATTATTTTGGTGTCTCAGAATGTTGTAGTTTTTTTTAATAAAGACGTGATCATCATAAAACCGCTAATGATAGCTGTACTCTTGATGAAGATTGCTTTTTGGGGCGGTAATGCCTTTTGGAAAACGGTCGAAGTTGCACTTCAAAAACTTCTTGGGGTGGGGGGGGGGAGGGGAGGCTCCATGACTGCTTGCGACTTCCCCGGCTACAAACAACAAATACCCGGCAACTTGAAATCTTAGTGACAACCCTGCCTTGTTGCAGCAACTAGTCGCCCGACCTGTACACATGGAGTGATCTGTCACCGCGACGTGTTGCAGCAACTTGTCGCCTAGTGTGTACCGAACTTTACTGTTACGACAGTCTTTGTCTCATTTTACTCTCTTCGCCAAGCATCATAACCTGACCACGAAGGAAAAAATCTCTTGTTTGACCTAAACTATGGACCGGAAGACACTCGGTAGACGCGGACACCGGTGAGTCAAGAAGGCCGTGTACAGTTGCGTAAAAGCGGCACGTGGAGTGTTTATCCGTGTACAACGCGGTGGGAGGGGGTGCTTGTACACGAGCTAGCCATTTGCAGCTTATTTACTGGAAAATGTGGAGGAACCGCCCGCCCCACGGTTCGGCATTTGAAGCTTTTCCATAAAAAATGAAAAATTCCCAACAATCGCCTGGGGAGATGGACGAGCTTCGAATTGACTGAGCCATTCAAGTATAACTGACCTAGAAAGACTTTTTTGAGAACATGGGAACTAGTTGTGATTAGACTACGAGTAGTCCCCCATTTTTTCTCAGGGATAGTAGGGCGAGCGAAACGCGAGCGCGCGTGAAAATCAACCCACGCGAGAAAAGGCGACACGTTTCTCTCTCCCCGCCGCGTGTCGCCTTTTCTCGCGTGGGGTGATTTTCACGCGCGCTCGCGTTTTGCTCGCCCTACTATCCCTGAGAAAAAATGGGGGACTACTCGTAATCTAGGTTATGATAGTTTAGAGATTCTTCCAGAGCCAGAAGTCCGTGAAGATCAGCTGAAATAGTGAGATTTGAAATACCTTGAAATTTTTCGACTGAAAATTTTAATCTGCATTTTTGACGGTAGACGGTAAAAAAGTACTCTTTGCGACGGCGGACGGCTGAATGTTAGGCCCAGGTCGTTTGACGAATGACGGTTACCCACTGAGACCAATCTCTAACTCAAAGTCTTCTGGCTTTTTGGTCAGCCGGTCAAGGCCAGGAATGATTGAAAATGCCAGAAGACTGGGTGAGATTGCAGTGAGACCCTCTCTTTCGTTCGGGGATCCGCTGGCTTGCCGGTGGCCAGTGCGTGGGCGATAGCTTTAAAAAGTTGGGTCCGACGTGTTTAAATTAGAGGTGGGTACAATTCGATCCCCGGCCCTCCTCACTAGGTTTAATACATGCTACTTTTTCTTCAAGTCGCAATAAATTATCAATCATGAAACAGATGATTTCTTAATTCAGAACCAGATTATTGAGAAAAAGAAAGTTGTTCTGAACTATAATACATACAAATTAAAGATACTTCAAAAACAGAGGTCAATTCTCATCTTTTCAAGATAGCACAGTCATACTAATATTGATTAAATCATATTCAAATTAGCTGGACAATTTAGGAAAAGCCAAGTGTGAATTTCTCTTGAATATTTTATACTGGTGGTTTTTTACCACAACAACGCCAAACCGATTCGGGTTTTCGCTCGTTGCGTTGCATATTTTACAAGTCGTCTGTTCTTATAGAAAATGTGAAGTAGCTAGTTGAGTAATATGTTACTTTTAAATAAAAATCGGGTAATTCAGCTGCTAGTTCGTTTCGTACTTGTCCCTTATTGAAGAAACGTTCTTTTATACTCGCAAGCTATAAAATAATGATATACCGCCAAACACATATAATCAAGGGAGGCATTAAATGCAAATACAGCCAATCATAATGCCCAGACCCACACCTGTCTTACAAAATTAATACGAATCGGCAATTCACCATGAGTTCCTCAGCATTTTTTGACAAGTGAATTACAAAGCTTCGCCGCGTTCTTCCAGCCGACCAGAAAAAAGTAGAAACTCCCAGCGCTGTATCACGAACTAAGCACGGTCTCGCTTGTAATTCATCGTTAAAGCGTGAAAAACAATTATGGATATTCTTACGAAGTTTGCGGAAGATAAGGAAAAGTCTGCAGCCTTAGAAGACGCTTTCAAATCTTCTAGATATCCAGATACGTTGACTATTTCGCTTCTCGCTGCCCACATTGGATCAACTGAAGAAGAAGTACAGGTATGGCGTTTTTAACAATTCTTTTTCTTGGCCTAGAACCAAGGAAAAGTGAAGGCTATATAATATTTTGACTGAATCATCGAAGGAAAAAGGAAACCGGATGATTAGGAAATTGCGTTAAAAATGTAGAAAAAATATTCAGATCTTTTGCAACCAATTTTTGCTTAAATCAAACACTTAATATACAGAAATGTTTTTAGTGTATTTCTATGCATCGTGGTTTACCGAAAAGACCTATCAGAAAAAAATATCCACTGATGATATAACCAAAATTCCTCCTTAAAGTTTGTTTGGAGGATTTATCGTCATTCATCCTTTAGCGGATATTCTTCCTCAAACCTCAGACGTTTTCTGGTGCTGTGAGTGCATTATTAAATATCGAGCGCGTCGCATTTCGCATTATTTTTAAAACTGACTGTAAGAAAATATGTTTACCTTCCGAATTTTCGTTTTTCGTCCTTAATAAGAGGAAAATCTTGTATTGATCTGTTTCGCTGAGTTTTCGAAGCGTTTTTTTAAACCACTATTGGCGATTCATTAACATAATGCTGCTTAATAAAATATGCGATTATTATTACTTTTGCCTGTCTAACAAAAATGTTTTTCTTTTTCAAACATCGCAGAACTGGTTCACAGCAAGGGTAACAAAATGGAGGAAGGAAGAAGGATTTGTTCCAATTGCTGAACGAGCAGCAATTTTGGCTCAAAATATGAACAAAAGGGGTACTAAAGAATGAGAACTGACGAGCAAACAGAAGACAAAGTTAAAAAAATAGATTAAAATATATAGGCAGGAGTCCAACACTTTTGGCCGGAAACACCAATTTGTCAGCTTGTAAAACTTCTCCACTGCCCGTAACAAGCTACATTTTTTTTTAGTGTGTTTGAGCTTGAAGATGTGGGATAAAGTACTACAATTCTCAGCATTAATTGGAGAAAATATTTTAAAAATACGCATTGATAGTAAAATGCGAATATTAACGAAACGTTTATTTGGATTTCTTCTTTCCTTTTTAAAGAAACGATTATTAATTGCATTCCCAAGAATTCGCTTGTAGTGTACAATATTTCCAGGATTATCTGCAAAAAAATATTTTGGAAAAAAGGATAGTATTCTTTTTCTAGAGAAGGCCAGGCAACGCAACCAATTTTATTATTGTAATGTTCAGTGGAATATTCAATTTGGGAATTTATGCGCGGGCGCCTTGAATTACCCAAATAAATAGGAATGAATCAGCTGAATGAATGTAAGTTTTTCATTTACAGATTAGAGATGTTATAATCTTTCTTGCCAGAAACATCTGTTTGCGTCGCTTTCAAGGATAGGTTCCCAGAAGTTTTAGAAGTACATTCTCAAGAATCGGAAGTTAATAAATAAAGGCATTTTTTTGTTCTTTGCGTTTACTGTTGGGTTGGAGACTACATTGTATGTGTTGGAATTAAGGGTATATATCATTGCTCCAGAGAAGGCAGGCCAATAAACAATAAAAGCAATGTGGCAATAGCCATGCTATATTCAATACAAATCTTAGGAAATTTGCCGTGAACATTTTAAAAGTACCCCTACTGCAATACAACAACAACAACATAACTTTATTGTACGAATTAAAAAAATTATGGCTCTTGCTCAAAATTGCTTTTTGGGGGACAAGATTGCGCACGCAAAGTCTGTAGGTTTTCGGCTTTATTCGGCTGTTTGATAAAGTGAGAGCCGAATTAGTTCGAGATATCTCGATATTACTTTGATTTTATTTATTTATTCTTTAACATATTTGAGGAAGAAAGAATACCGTAAAATTCCGAAAATAAGCCGCGGGGCTTAAATTGTTCAGATACCCTTTTTGAGGGGCTTATATTAGGAGGGGCTTATATACGGAGTAAAATTTGTATTTCAAAATTTGCTAGGCTAATATTTGGAGGGAAAATTACGCCTCAAAATCAATTGGGCTAGCCTATAGCTAAAAGGAAATTTATGTCAGTAATTTGCAGAAAGTTTTTACTAAAACTCGCCTTGAGGACGTAGATTTTACTAAAACTCAGTCATGCAAGTACTTTGTCTATATGGAACGAGGAACTCCAAGCCAAGAGCAATTTACTGTTACACTTACTGCAATCATTGCACACGTAATAGCTCTTTCGCACATGCGAAAATTTGTTTTACTGTACAGTTTTTGCTCTGCTTTATTTTAAATTTAACGGCAATTTCCAATTACAAGACCCTGAGGGCTTATATTTGGACGGGCGATTTAACGGGCGGTTTTTTTGCGTTACGAGTTCGGGGTCTTTTATTTGGAGGGGCTTATTTTCGGAATTTTACGGTAATTATTTTGGCTTGCCCGGGGTTGAACCCACTCACCTGTGTGACCCATCAGATCAGTATCAGATGAGACCCTTAGTTGAGGGATTAGCCGATTGCGCAACTGTGACCCAAGGTAACTGGAGATATGTGTAAAATAGCTATAAGATATGCACGAGGTACCGGATAAGTTGGTGACTTTTGGGATTGGTTCGGGTATTTGGCGTAGTGAAACCAGAATGAGCTCGAGTTCTTTCGGCTACAATAAACATTTCAGGAGGAGCGCGAGGTATTAAAGGATTTGCGACGCTCATAAATTTCGTAAACTTGCAGTTTGTTGCTGAAGTGAGGGCGGAAGTTGTTCGAGATATCTCGAGATCAGTTCGAGTTGTTTAGTTTATCTGATGAAGAAAGAAATATTTTGGCTCGCCTGCGGTTTTTGACTTATCTTTGTCCCGTCAGATCACGGAGACGAGAGTGAAGCATAAAAGATTTCTGATTTGTGGGATTAGATTTTTAATTTGGGCAAGCGGCAAGTTAATGTTTTGCCAGGGGTATATTTGCAGAACGCCGAATAGTGGGCGTGCGAGGATTAGTTTATTTTGGGCTTATAGGAAACTGAGTGAAACCGGAAGTGAAGTTTTGGCATTCGTTAATACTCCTAGTTAATTTAACCTGCGCGCAGACACTTTAAACCTTTTTTATATCCACACTATATGACGTTGGCCGGCTGCACCGCAAGCTAAGTTAATTATACAATGTACCTATAACAGGAAGAAAACCACTTCATGTGCAAAACAATTTAGTATTGATAGAATTGCTCACCTTAAAGGTGAGGTTTAATACACGGGACGATTCGCAACGACGATTTTTAGCGCAAAACAGCGTCACATTGTTGGAACAATGTTGTAACCATTCGAAACAATGTCGCAACAATGATGCAACGCTTTGTTGCGCTAAAAGTGAAATGTATGGAAATGTATGGTCCACCTTGCACTCACTAATAACCAAAATATCCAAGAGACTTTCGAAAATAAGGAACTTCAGCTCCAAAAACTTGAAACTAGCTACACAGTTGATGTTTTATGCCCAATCTTTAAATTCTGTGCTTAAGTAATTTCTTAGTGCCTTTACCTACAAACAAAACGCTCCTGTAGAGTTAAGAAGAAGATATCAATCAAATTATATCAGAGAGCACCAACCATAACATTTTTTGGTGATTTTTGAAGGCTAGCCTCCCTCCCCCCCCCCCCCCCCCCCCCCCCCCCCCCCCCCCCAACAAAAAAAAAAAAAAGAAAAAACCACACTTTTATTCATATTTTTTATTATTATCTTACGCACTCCTTCACACCAAAACAAAAAAAGTAGAAACACAGAAAAAAAAAAAAATTCAAAACAAACAAAAAGAAATATAGTCTCTCAGGTTTTGTTTTTTTTCCCAATATTTAAATTTTTGTTTTATATTATTTTTTTTTTCTCTTCCCAAAAAAAAAAAACCCCTCGTTAGAATAAAAAAAAAAAAAAAAAAAAAAATTTTAGAAAAAACCCACACCAAAATTTTTTTTTGTTTTTTTTAAGGGTCCCCCCCCCCCCCCCCCCCCCCCCCCCCCCCCCCCCGCCATCCAAAAAAAAAAACGTGGAAAAGTTGGCCAGATTTCTTCAAGTTTTTTAATCTATTTCCACTTGCCATCCGTAGCAACAGAAGACGGGAAACAGTTTCAATGCTTAAAAAAAAGTCTTTAATGACAAGACTGAGGCATTATTTCAATTTGTAATGCAATTGATGCAAATAAATGTTTTAGCCGAGAGAGAAAACAGCGTGTTATAGGCCCCGTTTAAAAGTTGAAGGAAAAAATGGCAAAAAGGCTACCAAACAGGTAATTACTAAAACAGAGCCTAGAAAAAGCACTAGGAAATCGACGGTTTCATAACTTCAGGTTATGTGGTGTTCACAATAGATTAAAAACTAGTACCTTCTGAAGGCTTGAAATTGGAAGCCCTGTGTAATGTATTCAAGGAGAAATAATTCAAACACAATTATTAACTTGAATCCGTTTGCACAGTTTATTACATCAAATGTAAAAATACAAAATCATATCGCAAACTGAGACAAAATCTTAGAAATACGATTAAAAAACTGCAGGTAAAGGCTAATGAAATCACTACTCTTAGGCTAAATATGTGACAAATAGTACCAACAAACAAAGTAAAACTTTTGAAGTCTAATTCTGTTTAAAACTTCTAGTTTTAAACTAAATTAGTTCATATTAGAAGGAAGGAAGGATTTAACCGTTTTCACCTAGGAGAGCTCAAACAACAATGACGGAGACGGCTTTGAAAGTGAATTCGCATCGCTTCGAACTTTATCGCGCTTATTCCATCTTTGGTCAATTCGTCAAATCTTGTCAAATTTTTCTGAAGTTGAATTCTAAAAGACAGTATCAGAGTTCAGGAAAAGAAAACGAAAGTTGTCTTGCTTTCACGAACGTCCTCCACAAAACTTTCACGTTGTAGTCGTGTAGTGGCGGCGATGAATGAACAAAAAAGCGTGGTGCACAAGCAAAGGTTTTGTTTTGCCGTTCTCGTTGCTGTCGTCGTTGTCGCTGCTTAAGCCTCCTATTCTTTTTTGTTTACTTGGGTATTGGCATCCAATTTGAACTGTGCGGATGCTAGCGAAAACAAAAAACACTGTAAATTCAAGCCTATTCAGCTTCTCATGGAGCCATCGCCAACAACATCTCTGCCAAAAGAGCCTCACCAAAGCGGCTTTGAGACTATATTCAGTCCGTGAGTCCATATCAGCTCTTAAATGGACTTAAATGAAATCAATTTACCCCTTATTTTAGATAGTGTTGGAAAATTAAAGTGCTTCTAACAAAAAGCAATTTTTGTTTTAGGATGAACCGTCGGCATTACGAAGTCAAAATAATTTAGAAATGTTTTAAAAGTGCCACGATAGTCTCATTCAACGTGGTGTCAAGTAAATGTCCCTCATTAGGACACCAAATAGACAACGATGGCGGCCAGGATCGCAGAAAGCATCACACGTGACTCCAGCATATTTGCTGCACCTGGCACCAGTATGTATTTGGTTGGTAACACTTGTCTGTCGGTGTGCTTAGAAATATCTACATCTCCATCCAAAGAGTTGTGCATGGCCCACGCAATAGTGACTTCAGTACCAGGCTACATAAAAAAATATGGAAAGAATTTCATTAGTTTGCTATTTTAATGCTATTTTTAACCTTCTGAAATAGAAAGTGACTAAGTTAGGATCGCGAAAACTACATACAACTACATAAAAGACTCCAAATAAAACATGTATTTATGTATGTATGGAGAAGAGTTGTCCGAGATAGAAGGGTCACTTGCCTACGCGAGCTAGTATCGTGGGCCAGCCAAATTTTCCTACATTACCTTAAAAAACTTGGTGAACTGTTAACGAGAATCAAAGAGTTGGCTCGGTTAGTAGTCCAGGTTACATATTTCGTTCGGTCAGGCCAACTTTTCTCCATATAATCAAGATGGTTCGTCAAGCCGGCTAACTCAGTCAAGGCGAGCATGCACTACAGATAAACGCTCCGCGCTAAAGATGACTCGGCTAGGTAGGTGACCCTCTGTCCAGTGAAGACTTTTCTCCATATAGTCGAGGACTAAATTAAACTTGGATGCCTATTCTCACTTGAGGCCGTCACAAACAACGCCCCTTTGCCTTTTGGACCTGTGTATTTAATTCTGCTCATCGGGATCCACAAAGAAACCGGCTGTACACAATATTTACGAATTTAGTGTAAATAGACGTATTTTGTCCTGTTTTTTTCTCTCTTCGTTGACACTGGCACCTGACAACAGGTTGTCGCACCATCCTCCTCCCCGCAGGGATGGCTCGCTTTTGTACCCAAACTCCCGCTCCTTTCCATCTCCGGGTGGGACGTATGGGAGTGGGGACCACGGTCCCACCCGGAGATAGAATTTAAAAAAAGGAAGAACTTACCTTAAACTGAACATCGTTAGCAGTGTCGCTTGTCTCTGGATCTCTCTCAAACTGCACCGTTGTATATCCATCAGCCTCGCTCGCAGTTGTAAGAACAAAGTTATTTGCACTATCCTTTGATGGTTTTGTCGTTGAGGTGCTCCAGTAATCCTACGGGTAAAGAAACAAAGTCTCTTATTTACCACTTTAACACAGACCGTCACTTTTTACGGTATTAAATCTTAAATTACAACTTCGTGCTGTGTGCTGTGTGCTGTGTGCTGTGTGCTGTGTGCCTCATTGGACTGCTTGAATGGCCTTTTACTAACAATTTTCAAGGTCATAATGTCTTGGCCTTCAGCCAACATACGAACACTGTCTATAGTCTCCTTAGTCTCCTTATTTCCTCTCACTTACGTCCTCATTTTCACGTTGAGTGGATCGTTCGCTTTTCTAATCTAACCAGGTTTTTCTTGTTCGGAGATCTTGTCTTAAAAACTGCGTTTTGAATTGTTTTGTGAAAAATTCTTTTTTGACTACATAAAAGGTTTCCTCGATCTTTCACAAGAACAGATTTTCTTGTTATGAACATTGCGTATCTGTTGCGGACTAAGGCTCTATTTTTTTGGCGTAATAACTTACGCACCTACATAGCTGCAGTAGGCACAAATATGAGCGATATCTGCCTCCTTGTTTAGTTTAGAGTATGTTAACAGTTAATATCTTTGCCATAATGATGTCAGTGTCGTATAATAGTAATAGTAATATTTGCTTGAGTCTTACTGTAAATTTGGAAAACGTATTCAATACACTAGTCCATCTGGAGTAAGTGAAATTTAGATATATACTGAAAGAAACTCTATCTTACTTACATTAAGATAGTTGTCGCCGGAAGCGACCCCGCCCAAGGCAATATCGTAATCCTGCATGCCTCTACCATCCCCTGTTGTAAAGGCGACTGCACACCAACCAGTGGTTTTACATCTCAATGTGAAAGACAACTTGTTGTTGCTGTATATCCAGGTCAGCATAAATTTATCACCGAAACTAACGGTCGTGGCTGCTTAACAAAGAGATAAGGATTAAAAAGATCATGTTGAAAACGGTTTCTTACCAAAACGCTAAAATAATGTACTATTCGTGTGACTTACATGATCTTATACATACATGCAGTTTTTATTGTGTTTTGAGGTAAAAGTACAATTATAACATGCCCGCGGGTAGCTAAGATAACCTAGGCGGGTCATGTTTACAGGAAATAAATACAACTAAATACAGCTAAAAGTAACAAGAGAACCAAAGAAACTAAAATTGACAACAATGGCTGAAGACTACTCATAAGCTAACTGTATTACTAATAATAAATGACAACAGTTTACAGTTTGGGGTAACTACAATCCTCGTCACAAATCTTGAAACACTTGTGTGATTTTCCCCTTCCCAATGTTGATTCGGGTTTGCAGTCATTTCAGTGGTCCAAAAAAAGCTCGGCTCGACATTGGGGAAGGAGAGGGGCACATTTGAGTGAGAACAAAGGTGTGAATAAATGAAATTTAGAGAAAATTTAAGACAAATGCTTCCTTTTTTAACAATTTGTGACGAGTATTGTAGGTTGAAAGCAAACGACGAGTCACGAGAGTTAGACCCGTTTATAAAATCAAAATAATTACGCTCAACGGTTTGTAACTTATTTGCCAGTTTAGGTCCCGGCCAACAGAAACTAAACGGTCATTAACAACGTTGGCTATTCTACTTGGGTCGTGACAGAATCATTGTCTTTAGGGTCTTTTATAAAAGTAATAGGATTTGTGTTCTTCAATTTACGGGCAAGTACATTTTTTTATTCCCTCCAATGTTTTTTTCATATTAGTTAAGTTATCATTAAAAAATTTAGAATAATATTGCTGTTTACTTGAGCGCGTTAAAGTACAAATTATCCTATAAGACAATTATAATTGTTAAGCTCCGGCTTCCCCAACTAAAACACTGACTGAAATTGGTTGTGTAGAGATGATACGTTCTAACAAAATTGCGAGGGAGCTCTCAGGGGGATGGGGGGGGGGGGGACTTTCTTTACCCTTTTCCCACCCCCAAATTCTTGCCCACGGCCTCCAACTTGGTTTGTACTGGGGGCCTTTTTTTTTCCTTTTTAATGGTTGCCGGGTTTCTGGGGGGGCTTTGGTTTTTTTTTTGGTTGGTTTGTGGGGTTTTCCGTTCCCCCAACCCAGGGTGGGTTATTTTTTTTTTTGGTTTCTGTCTTTTTCCCCTTGGTGGGGGGGGGGGGGGTGGGGAGCTTCTTTATCCATTTCCCAGCCCCAAAATCTTGCTCACAGGCTCCAACATGTGTTGATACTGTGGTCTATTTTTTTTCCTTTTAATGGTTGTCTGGTTTCTCGGGGAGCATTTGGTTTTGTTATCGTTTGGATCTTGGTGTTTTCCTTCACTCACACCATGTGTGGGTTAATTTTTTTGTTGGTTCTCGTCTTTTCTCCGTGAGGTTTTTCTCTGAGTTCGTCGAATTTTCCCCTCTCCTTATTTCCAGTTCGTTCAGAAATATTGTGTCTTTAAGTAATGGTAACAGGACTGAGTGGATTACAATTCAGCGAGTGATCGAGCGAGTAATTTTGAATTTGAAATTATGAGCCCGATTACCCCTGAATTTTACGACGCGAAGTCCTATTACCAATTAATTGAATCAATAACAAAAATACGAGAATCTCAATCTTGTAAATATTCAGCCACTATTCACCTCGATTTCAAATAATAATTGTTAAATGTAAATAAAAGTCACTGGACCAGTAGTTTCATCCATTATTCTTTTCCAGTAGCAACTGGCAGCCACCTGGTCACTATTTTTTCATTGATTTTGATTGGTTATCACGCGCTATGTAGTTAACTTTTATTGACTAGTGGTATTTTCTACTTGATTTTCATTGTTTCTTTAACTGTCCGATTTGACCTGTCCCACAAGCTCCTGGAAATCGGACAGGTCAAATCGGAAACTTTTGAAGCAAAATGAAGCTATAAATATAGGCTGTTGAGAACCAATCAGATTCAAACATTTTGTTATGGACACAGTTAGGTCAGGAATAAGATATATCAAAAGAAAATGTACTCATTCTCTCCTGAATGTAAGTGAACATGAAAATCAAGATTATTTTTCAATAATAATCTGCCATGTTAGCTCGTGGCATGAATTATCATATTTTAATTCATATCAAGAGAGGATAAAGGGGACAGAGAAGGCATCCCCCATACACACCCTATTCCATAGGTAATTCGTCTCGAGCTATTTTTAGAATCGGAATAAAGTTATCTCGCGCGCTGCGTGGATGTTTCGTAGAGGTTTCGCATGACTAAACGCCGTGTAAAACATGTCGGGCGAAAGGCAATGAAAGCGTAAAGAGATTGAAAGCATTCCTGAATATTGAAGCGAAATGAATCGGCGCTCACCTGGGAAAAGCGAATCGCTGGACTCTTTGGCAACCCGCGAAATTAGTTTAACTCGAAGTTGTCGTAACCTCAGTGCTTTAATAAAATGAGAAATTTCGCCGGTCTATTGAAACTGGTCGTTGGTACAATAAAGCAAGTAGGACACCAGAAATTGCTCTCTTCAAGCTGTAAATTATAAATGATCCTGAGAGAATATTCAGTGTGTTAAGGATTTCCCTGCTGTACTGTTAGCTCTATACAAGAGAGGAAGGGCGATTCCTTTTTAATTTCCGTTTCGCTGACACAGCTTTAGCAGAAATCTCTCTGTAGTCGTTTTCGTCGACAAAACGAATAGNATCGGAATAAAGTTATCTCGCGCGCTGCGTGGATGTTTCGTAGAGGTTTCGCATGACTAAACGCCGTGTAAAACATGTCGGGCGAAAGGCAATGAAAGCGTAAAGAGATTGAAAGCATTCCTGAATATTGAAGCGAAATGAATCGGCGCTCACCTGGGAAAAGCGAATCGCTGGACTCTTTGGCAACCCGCGAAATTAGTTTAACTCGAAGTTGTCGTAACCTCAGTGCTTTAATAAAATGAGAAATTTCGCCGGTCTATTGAAACTGGTCGTTGGTACAATAAAGCAAGTAGGACACCAGAAATTGCTCTCTTCAAGCTGTAAATTATAAATGATCCTGAGAGAATATTCAGTGTGTTAAGGATTTCCCTGCTGTACTGTTAGCTCTATACAAGAGAGGAAGGGCGATTCCTTTTTAATTTCCGTTTCGCTGACACAGCTTTAGCAGAAATCTCTCTGTAGTCGTTTTCGTCGACAAAACGAATAGTAATAGCAATATCGTTCTCCGCCATTTTGTTCTGCGTCAATTCGTGAAGGACGCGTGGCTCTAAGCGTGGGTCATCCACGCGGAACACATTCGAGCTATGTGATTAGCTGTTGTCTAATCCCCCTTGGGATCTGTGGTCTTAAAAATAACTCGAGACGAATTACCTATGGAATATGGTATGTATGGGGGATGCCTTCTCTGTCCCCTTTATCCTCTCTTGATTCTTGAGCATTAGAACTTTCCAACATATAGTCGATTTTCAGATCAGATGCAGTGTCGTGTTGAAGCAGGGCTTACACAACAACAAGTCTTTGTCCATCCCTTATACATACATCTCCATCCTTTCTTGATATTTGTTATTTTAAAACTGGATCACTGAAATCTATAATCAGTGGTCAGTGTAATTATTTGAGGTTGGCCCTACGACTCCAATAGAGATGTGCTTTAAACGGTGGTTATCGGAGATGATGAAAAAATATTCGAGGTAGTTACTATCAAACATTAAGTTACTACACAAGTAATCATGATTAGATAAGGCTTAGACGAGTAATTCTTTCATTATAATATTCATTTTAAGTTTTTCATTTTTTTTTTCCGCGGCTCTGACTGTAGACAAAGTGATTTTTTTTAAAGTTCACTGACAATATGCCGAGTTTACAATGTCAACAATTCGCTTTTTATAATATTGGAAGAATAAGGTAAATCTTGATTAGCTATAACTTGTTCTTACAATTAAATTAACAGAAATGATTATTGGCTAGTCTACGTTACCTGTTGATTGAGGCGTTAAACCAATTGAGGAAGAGGGCACCATCATGGTACTGGTGGTAGGTGTTATTCCTGAAGAAAAAGCAATTTTCGCTGAGTTCTAGATAGCCAAATAAGTCCTCAAAAAAGTTTTTGTGAGTATTTAACTGCCAAAATGGGCCGCAATTTTGGGTTTAAAAATAAATCTTTTGAATTCAAATTGTAGCCGCAGCTCATGACGGAAAAAATTTCGACCAGGATAAATAACTATTTCAACCCTACACCAGTAAATGGTCATTTGTCATGCGCGACCGAATGTTCGAATTTCCGTCCTGATTATGAAATATCTACAGTAGGCTGTGAATCAGAATCGTGATGCTCCCACTAACGACTACGGCGTTGGAAATTAAAAGAGCGTCTAACAAAAAATTAAACAGTGAATGATAATAATGATAATGATAATGATAATGCTAATAATACTAATAATAAACACTTTCTGTTACAAGAAGAAGAATTCCGGCCACGAAGTCGTGATGATTTAAAAACAGTTTGGTTGCTGTGGTTGAGGCCATATTCATACAAAAGCGGACCGCTCTTACGCCGGCACAAAAATCATACCGGATAGGATTTCTGTTTACATATCAAACGGTGATTTCGACGCGATTTCTGTAACGGAGTGAAGCTGCGCGTATGCATCCCCTTCGATCAAGTGGAGCCTCAGCCACAAGGTGCTCCAAATTTTCTTAAAAGTTTCTCCAAAATTCTTTAAAAATCTACGGCGGGTAACGTTTAAATGTACAGCAAGTTTGAAATGACATTTTTTCTTCTACAACTGAACTTTCTCAGACGAAAACCCTCTCAGACCGAAAGCTTTTTCTCTTTGGACTACCCGCGGTTTGAGATCAATGGTTTGGAAATAGAACTACTCTTTTCAAAATGGCGACAAACATCTGAGTTCTCCGCCTTGAATGAAAACGAGCATTTACTTGTGCAAGTATTCTCCTGTTGGGCTAGGGTCGTTTTCATTTAAGGTTGAGAAGTCAGATGTTTCTCGCCATTTTGAAAAGCGTGGTTCCATTTCCAAACCATTGAACTCAAACCACGAGTAGTCCACTTAAAGAAGAGGGTGGGGGTTGGGGAGGGGGGGGGGGGGGGGTGGGGGGGGGGGGGGGGGGGGGAGGTTGGCGCACAGGGTTAAATTCTCACGTTCTTCTTTGTTATCTGTAACATCAAAACACTGGAATTTTCTTTTTTATATGTTTTACAAAACCAAAGGCTTCTCCAAATAGCAAAAGTTGTCAGAAAGTTGCCGACAAACTTGTGGTTAAGGCTATTTGTGCCACACTTTAATGCAGAATGAACACGAATGAATTGAATGAATTGGGACCTTAGGGGAAGTGATTAAGTAGGAGCAAGGACTGGAACCCATTGAGACGGAAGTAAAGAATTCAAGGGTGGGGGCTGGGACGTGCACGAAAACTCTTGTTCAAACACTACGGCACGATATTCGATGTGTGTAAAGGACTTCCCAAAATCAAAAACAAAAGCAAAAAAAAAATAAAAAAACATACCAAAAAGGCCCCGAGCTATTTGTGGCTGAGGCTATTTGTGCCATACTTAAATGCAGAGTGAACAGGTATTCGGACTTGTAAGGATTGGGACGTGAACCAAAACCTTTCGACCAAATAACGTGACGGCACGACATTCGATGTGTGTGAAGGACTTGTTCCTGGTCCGGGCCGTTGCTGCTCATACCATAGCGGAGAGCGCTACGTGTCGACACGAAAAGCTATTAGGTATAGTGCAGATATGGCCTAAGTGGGTGCACCTAAAGGTCTTTCATTGGGAAACAAACTAGGCAGGGCTGCAATGGCGGCCAGGATAACAGAATAAACATGACACGTGAAAGCATGGCCTAAGTGGGTGCACCTTAAGGTCTTTCATTGGGAAACAAACTAGGCAGGGCTGCAATGGCGGCCAGGATAACAGAATAAACATGACACGTGAAAGCATGGCCTAAGTGGGTGCACCTAAAGGTCTTTCATTGGGAAACAAACTAGGCAGGGCTGCAATGGTGGCCAGGATAACAGAATAAACATGACACGTGAAAGCATGGCCTAAGTGGGTGCACCTTAAGGTCTTTCATTGGGAAACAAACTAGGCAGGGCTGCAATGGTGGCCAGGATAACAGAATAAACATGACACGTGAAAGCATGGCCTAAGTGCAACTAAAGGTCTTTCATTGGGAAACAAACTAGGCAGGACTGCAATGGCGGCCAGGATAACAGAATAAACATGACACGTGAAAGCATGGCCTAAGTGGGTGCAACTAAAGGTCTTTCATTGGGAAACAAACTAGGCAGGGCTGCAATGGCGGCCAGGATAACAGAATAAACATGACACGTCAAAGCATGGGCTAAGTGGGTGCACCTAAAGGTCTTTCATGGGGAAAGAAACTAGGCAGGGCTGCAATGGCGGCCAGGATAACAGAATAAACATGACACGTGACTTAAGCACACTTGCTGCACCTGTGGTGGGGGAGGTGGAGGTACTCCCTGTTTCTGGAACCAGTGTGTACATGTCTGGCAGTACTCCTCTGTTGGTGTGCACAGCAATATCTACATTTCCATCCGAAGTGCCGCGCATGGCCCACGCAATCCTGACTTCAGTACTAGGCTACATAAAGAAATATGTAAAGGATTTCATTAGTTTGCTATTTTAACGTTGTTTTTTACCTTCTGAAACAGCAGCAAGTTCATAAGACGCGGCGGTTTATATGGAGAAAACTTGTCCAGGATAGAAGGGTCACCTGCCTACCCGAGCTAGTATCCTGGGTGAACCTACATTACCTTAAAGAACTTCGCGAACTGTTAACGAGAATCAAAGAGTTGGCTAGACAGTTAGGATGACACGCCTATCCAGGTTACATATTTCGATGGTATGGTCACTCTCCTAGCCAGGCCAAATTTGCGTCATATAATTACGTTGGCTCGCCAAGTCGGGTCATTTCGGTCAAGGCGAGGCGAGACTATCGGAGCTACACTAGCGCTGTTGTCAACACTTGGTTCGCTCAGATAAATGCTCCGCGCTAAAGATGACTCGGCTGGGAAGGTGACCCTCTCTCCCGGGATAACTTTTCTCCATACAGTCGAGGACTAAGTTAAACTGGGATGCTTATTCTCACTTGGGGCCGTCACAAACAAACGCCCCTTTGCCTTTTGGACTTGTTTATTTAATTCCGCGCATCTGTGGATCCACAAGGAAACCGCCTGTACACGATATTCACGAGCTTAGTGTAAATATACTTATTTTGTCCTGTATATTCCTCTCTTCGTTAACACGGACACCAGACATTAGGGTGTTGCACCACTCTCCTTCCCGCCCGCAAAGACGGCTCACTTTTGCACTTTTGTACACGAATTTATAGCTGCGTTTAAGGATGTTATGAGTTTACCTTAAACTGAACATCGTTAGCAGTGTCGTTTGTTTCAGGATCTCTCTCAAATACCACCGTTGTATATCCCCCAGCCTCCGTCGCCGTTATAAGAACAAAGTTATTTGCACTATCCTTTGAGGGTTTTCCCGTTGAGGTGCTCCAGTAATCCTGCGGGTAAAGAAACAAAAGTCAATCTCTTTAAAAGCACAGACCGTCACTTTTTAGGTTATCATAATCTTAAATTACAATTTCGTGCTCTGTGCAAAATTCCGAGATCTGATTGACTCAATGAAGAAGTACTTGAATGGCCTTTTACGCACGATTTCCGAGGTCATAACGTCTTTCCCTTCAGCGAACATTCGAACACTGTCCATGATCGCCTCAGTGTCTGTATTTCCATTTATTTTCGCCATTTTCATTGGATTGTTCACCTTCCTAATCTAACCTATATTTTTTGTTCTGGGATTGTGTTTTAAAAACAACGTTTTCATTTTTTTATGTCATAGGATATTTTTAAGATTCTGTACATCGCGTACTGTGGCGGACCAAGAGGGCTAAGTTAGTTGGCGGTAGAATTGCTGCTGCTGCAGGCAAAAAATATGCGACATCTACATCATTATCGGCGAATACGAACATAATATCACACTTATTATCGTCGCCATGGTGATCTCATTACCGTACAACCCACTAGTAATAGGCATTTGCTCAGCCATTAATGTGAATTTGGGAAAGTTATTCAATGAAATGGCCCATCTGACGTCAGTGAGATGCTCTAAGATAGTTCTTTATACTGAATGAAATTCATCCCACTTACATCAAGATAGTTGTTGCCGGAAACGACTCCGCCTAAGGCAATGTCGTAATCCCTCATGCCGCTACCATCCCCTGTTGTAAAGGCGACTGCACACCAACCAGTGGTTTTGCATTTCACTATGAACATCAACTTTTTGTTGCTGTATATCCAAGTCAGCATAAAATTATCACCGGCACTGACGGTCGTGCCTTAACAAAGAAATAAGGGTAAAAANAATGAAGAAGTACTTGAATGGCCTTTTACGCACGATTTCCGAGGTCATAACGTCTTTCCCTTCAGCGAACATTCGAACACTGTCCATGATCGCCTCAGTGTCTGTATTTCCATTTATTTTCGCCATTTTCATTGGATTGTTCACCTTCCTAATCTAACCTATATTTTTTGTTCTGGGATTGTGTTTTAAAAACAACGTTTTCATTTTTTTATGTCATAGGATATTTTTAAGATTCTGTACATCGCGTACTGTGGCGGACCAAGAGGGCTAAGTTAGTTGGCGGTAGAATTGCTGCTGCTGCAGGCAAAAAATATGCGACATCTACATCATTATCGGCGAATACGAACATAATATCACACTTATTATCGTCGCCATGGTGATCTCATTACCGTACAACCCACTAGTAATAGGCATTTGCTCAGCCATTAATGTGAATTTGGGAAAGTTATTCAATGAAATGGCCCATCTGACGTCAGTGAGATGCTCTAAGATAGTTCTTTATACTGAATGAAATTCATCCCACTTACATCAAGATAGTTGTTGCCGGAAACGACTCCGCCTAAGGCAATGTCGTAATCCCTCATGCCGCTACCATCCCCTGTTGTAAAGGCGACTGCACACCAACCAGTGGTTTTGCATTTCACTATGAACATCAACTTTTTGTTGCTGTATATCCAAGTCAGCATAAAATTATCACCGGCACTGACGGTCGTGCCTTAACAAAGAAATAAGGGTAAAAAAAGACATAATAGAATCATTTTTCTTCACCAAAATGCTAAAATAACGCACTAATGGTTTGACTTGCACGACATTAACTCTAATAGCCTGTTTTAGGCTCTCACGTAGTTTCGACGATCGACAAGAAACATGTTTAACAATTATTGGATGAGGTAGCCTGAGAAAACACACGTTTTTCTTCGCTCCTCGCCGCTGGGGGACGTTTCGTGAGGAGGGATATCTCGGCGACTCAGCGACAGAAATTCCATACTGATGACGTAAAATCTGTTCAGAACATACAGATAATAGTTCGCCGTGAAAAATATTCTGCCTTTACTAGCTTCGCCATCACTTAGCTAGAAAACAATTCAAACTCGTCCCCAGGTCTTCTCGGTTTAACGGTTTAATAATCTGCAACTTTGCTTCACTTTTGACGTCATCGGTTCAACAGGACAAAACTCTTCCAAATTTGGTCAACAGTAGCTGGTTTTGATGAATTGTGCGTGTGATTTTAGCCAATCAGAGACGGAGAAATATTTTGAATGAATAATTAAAAGTTTTATTTAGTCCCCTGGAGCGTTGCCCGAGACAAAATCAATTTCAGTATCAATATGTCCAGATCACAAGATCAACAATTTTTGCTTTTATTTTTCAATTGTCCAGTGATGAAAAGTTATTAGAGTGGAACCTCGATATAACGAAAATCTATGTAACGAGGTCCTCGATATAACGAACGATTTTCTTTACCTCAGTAATAGTAAAATATATGAAAATGAACCTCTATATAACGAAACCTCGCCGTATAGCGAACAAATTTTGCCCGACCCTTGGCTCTTCGTTATATCAAGGTTCCACTGCTAGTAATTGCGGGAAGTAATCAAGTTAATGAGAATCCGGGACTATATTATTTATATTGACATCTGTCATTACCTGTTGGTTGAGGCGTAGAAACAACAGATGTGGATGGCATCATCATGGTAGTGGTGGTAGGTGTCATCGCTGCAACCATGGCCTCAGCGATCAGGTTTCGCGCATTTTCTGATTTTCCCCTCATAGTGTGCTTTGGGCTCAAAGTTGCCGACGCTGTATTGGCATCCGTAGTTGAGTGCATAGCCCAGACAATATAGACTTCAGTATTGTTCTGAAATCCAAAGGTAGACAAAGAAAGTAACCATGTAAAAAGCCGGCAGTAACTTATAACTGAAAACTATTAATTGACAAGTTCTAAGTAAACTGTTCAAATTAAAGTCATGGAAATGACGAATAGCCTGAATCCTGGGTTAAAGTGCATGCTTTACCCCACGTACCCATAAAACTTATGATACAGTAATAAAAGCAGCAAAATGTTATCCTATCAGTTTCATATTTCAGACTTCAGGTATAGAGATGTGTAGACTCGACACCATGTGGACATCTGAATTTTCAGAAAATCAAAAAAGAAGGCCATTTTAAATGACCCCAAACACCCTAAGCATGCAGCGCCATACTAAACGATGATCATCATCTTCTTTGCTTTTTGTGCCAGAAGGCGCAAAAGGCC